GTTACCTTTTTAGAGCTTTATTGGGAGAGAGGGGAGAGAGGAAGGGAAGGGGGCAGATGGAAGGAAGGAGCGGGAAGGAAAGAGAGGGACGCACAGAGGGCCCACCTGCTTTTTAGGCTGGGACGCTGATGACATAATTAAGTCCCAGGCTGATGACGTAATTAAGGACCGAATCCTTACACTTCCCCCTCCCTCACTGTATTTCAGAGGCTGGCTTTGGCTTTGAACTCAGTCCTCATGACTGCCAGGAATCCAGGTCTGCACCCCTACTCCCGGCTTTGAGCATCCATTTTTTTGTTTTTTTGTTTTCTACACTCTCAATCTGCAGGCTCTGCTCCACAGTTCAGCGCTGTTAGCTAAGATCTTGGTGCACTCAGTCACATGTCTCACTCATTCAGTGTCTCACTCATTCAGTGTCTCACTCATTCAGTGTCAGGATACAGTCTCTAGGGGTCCAGCGACCCTGCGTCTCCCGTGGCTCTCTAGCTAGAATTCATCTCCTTTACCGTTCCACTCTTTGCAAAGATGTCCCCCCTCATAGATTAGTCTGTGCTGGTCAAGTAGATTTGTAAACTGTTCGGAACACTGCCATTATGGTCTGTGTGAGCACAGACCCTGTCTGGGAGGTAGCTGTGAGTTGACTGTCTCTGAAAATGGTCCCTGTCCTGGGCAGGCTCCTGTCCTTGCCGCAGTGTTGGGCTCTGCCCCTTCTTCATGATGGCAAGTGGTTCACAGCTGCGCCAGCCAGCGGCAGGCCGGCAGCTGCCCTGCCAGGGTCAGGGACGTTCCTTCCAGACAAGCAGGAGCAAGTTGGCATTGGCAGATTTGTCTCCGGCAAATCAAAAGGTGTCCTTTGCCCTCAATCTTCCTGACTCTGCCACACCCAACCCCTAGGACTGGACCTCAGGATTCCATCTGTTCCTTTGTACCTTGTTAAAAGTTGTGCCTAGCCCTTGGCCCCGCCCCCTTCCTTGAGGCTGCTGTAGCTACTAATCTGATCAGCAAAGCCAGAATGGTGGAAATCCCCCTAGCCAGTGGCCTAAGTCCTTAACGGTCTGCAAGCCGGCAGGACAGAGGAGAGGAACCAATGGCCCCTGTGTGGGAGGGCCCCAGGGCCCAGGATCTGTTCCACTTGGGCTGGCCATGGGCCTGCACAGCTTCTGCAGTAGCCCGGGTAAAAGCGCTCGGTGGCCGGCACACTAAATAGCACACCCAGCTAAGCGATGACCTCAGCAAGCATTTCGTCCTCATTTCCTTCCGTGTGACCTCATCTGCTCATTCCTCACTCACCCTGGACTAAAAGGGCTCACCTCCATTCTTCTGTGTAACCTTGTCAGACTAAGCAAACAGTTGTTCACTTGAGACAGGGTGCCAGGTCGCTCGGATGGCCTCCCACTGGCTGTGTAGTGGAGGAGGATGACCTTGAACTCATGACCCTCTGCCTTCCTCTCAGTGCCAGGATTACAGGCATGCAGCACCTTGCCCAGTGAAGCCAAAAATACTTCTGTATCTTTAATTTAAAGGTTTCTCATGTTGGGTTTTTAATTTTTTTCTCCTTCATGTTTCTTTTTCTTTCTTTCCTTTTTTTTTCCCCCCTTTTCTCTAGCCTAGGCTACCTGGAATTCATTATGTAGCCCATTCTGGCCTTGAACACATGGCAGTTCCTCAGCTTCTCATGTCTATATTTTACCTTTCTTTAAAACAAAACAAAAAACCAAACCAATAAATAAATAAATAAATAAATAAATAAATAAATAAATAAATAAATAAATAAATGAATGAATGAATGAACCAAACTAGTTTTAGAGGAGGGGAGTGTTCCAGTTGGTAGGTGCTTGCTTGTCTAGTACACACAAAGCTCGGTGGCCAATTCCCACTACAAAATAAACTGGGTTTGGTGCCACAGACCTGCAACCCCAGCCCTCCAAGGTGGAAACAAAGGACCAGGAGTTCAAGGTCATCTTTGGCTACATAGTAAGTTCAAGGCCAGTCTGGAATGCATGAGACCATATGTCAAGAAAAGCCAATAGATAAAAACATATCTATAATATGGCGTATGTACCGAAAAGTACATTTGCACACATATATAAACCATCAAACAATTTTTAAAAGTTTCAGTTGTATAGCTATCACCTATGCTCAGAGTTAACAGCCGCTGTATTAATATGGGGTCCCTCCGTAGTGCAATGGTTGTAGGCATGGCTACATGAAGAGGCCGTGTCTCAGCAGACAGACAGACAGACAGACTTCCCTTCCTGCAAGTGTCAACAGTGTTGAAATCAAGAAGCCCTGCTGTAACCCATTCCTCTATTAGGTGCTTGAGTTTTGAATACGGTACCCCAGTGGGGAGTAGGGGTGTTGGGGGGGGGAGGGTTTTTTATGATAAAGGATTTGGATGCTCAAGAAATGTGTTAGCTTCAGAACTTTAATTCACATGACATACTTAGCTCCCTCCACTAATTGTTCTCAGGGAACTTTTCAAAAAGACCACCCAGATTTTGAGATGAGGGCTCCCATCAGCCACCCTGCCTTCTTTCAGGGCCACCAAGCACCCCCGGTCTCTTCTGTCACTTTGCACCCATCTTGGGACCCACACGCCACAAGACTTTGCAGAGGCCAGATGTGATCCATTTTTTTACTATTAGTTAAGTTGTGAATAAATTGAATTAAGACTCTATTCTTTCCAACGACGGTTCCAGCTCCTTCGTGCTTGTGACGCTCTGTCTTTTTGTTTTGTTTTTTTGCAGGATTTAGTAATTCGCATTGTTTTTATCCTTGGCAACCTGACAGCAAAGAATAACCAGGCCCGGGAAGTTTTCTCCAGGGAACGAGGGAGCATCGAAACTCTGCTCACGTTGTTTCAGAACTTCTACCAACTTGACCAGCACCCCCCAAGGCTGGGGCCCTCAGGAGCCAGTCCGGCAGCGGAGGCTGAGGACGTGCTGGTCAAGCTGACCCGCGTCCTGGCCAACGTAGCCATTCACCCGCGCATCGGCCCAGTGCTGGCCGCCGATCCTCGGGTGGTGGACCTGTTGCTGACCACGCTGGGTGAGAACTGTAGCTCGGGGCTGTTCCGTGGGAGGGCTGTGGTGAGGGTTTGGCCCCCTTTAGGGAACCTCCTTCACTGTGGAAAGGAAAAACACTTTGGGGCATTTGGCTCGGTTGGCAGAGTGCTTGCCTGACATACACACCCCCCAGGGGTCAGTCTCCAGCGTTGCTTATACCATGGGGGGTGGCACATGCCTGTAACCCCAGCAGTCGGGAAGTAGAGGCAGGGAAGCTAAAGGCCAGCCTGGGCTACACGAGGCAAAACCAAACCTGCCACCACAAAACCTTTCTGCCTAGAGGTGCTTTAACACACCCCAGATTTCCAAACAGGAAGATGGGGAATGCCATAAATCTTAGCCAAAGAGCACAACCACTGAATCATGCCCCTCAGAAGGGTGAGTTTGGGCTGTTTCGATGGCTTACCAGCGAAAGGTACTCGTGGCCAGCCCTGACGACTGGAGTTCTGCCCCAGGATGCACAGAGTGGAAGGCAAGAATCAACCTCCACACGTTACCCTCTGACTTCCACACGTGCACGGTGGGCTGTGGCACGCAGTAAGTAGATAAGTAAGCAAAAATATTAAAAGGTCAAGTTTTATGGTTGGCGAATCATATCACAATTTAGAACAATTTTTATCGATCAAAAGAGCAAACACTGGCTGAAAGTTTAAAATGACACATTTTTCCAGGATCAGTCCACACGGAGAAGGTTCATTTCTTTTTCTAGTTCTTGGGTTACCTGTAATTATGTCCCCATCCTTCATGGCCTGCCTTTCTAGTTTACCCTGCCACAGCAAACTGATGCTGATCTGTGTGTGCGTGCGCCTGAGATTGTATGCCACGCTTGCGGGTGCTTATGAGGCCAGAGGAGGGCGTCAGAACCCCCAGATCTGGAACTGCATAAGGTGAGCTGCCAGATAAGGGTGCTGGGAATGTAACTCCGGTCCTTTGGAGGAGCAGCAAGCACCTTCAACTGCTGAGCCATCTCCCCAGGCTCCCACAACAGAAATTTATTTCTCACATGCCTGGAGGCTGAGGTTCACGGTCAGTGCCGCAGCCAATCCTACCCCCGGAGAGAAAGCCTCTTCCGGCTGTAGCTAGCACCTTCTCACACACTGGGTGACTCCATGGTCTTTCTTTAGTGGAAACTACTATTGAGATGGGGAGACTGTCTGTCTCTCTTTTTCTATCTTTGGGTCAAAAATAGAGAAGAGGGAGGTCCACAAGTCTTGCTGCCCTCTCTAAGGGCACACCCCAGTGACATACCTTTCCCCCATTAGATGCTACCTCTCGCTGTTGACCACCACAGGCTGGCAACAAAATGTTGAATACGCGGGCTTTCAGAAGATATTCATCCAAACCATACAACAATCACTTGCCAGTTCTGAAAGCCCCAAACCAAGTCACTCAGGTTTCTCCTCTCCTTCACCATGGTACCCAGTCTCCAGGCACACTGGCCTCTGCCCCGTGCCTCAGGGAAGTCACACTATCCGAGGCACCCGACTGCTCCATAGCTCATCTGTGCCCCTCTGCATGGTGACCGTAGCCTCAAGAGATGAGTCTGGAGGTGGCATGAGAGATAGGGACAAAAAAAAAAAACAAACAAAAAACCCACAGTCTCCTTATGTATCAAGCTGAAATTCTGTTTATTCATTTTCATGCTCATCAAGTGTTTGTTTCTTTTGTCTTTCTTCGTAGTTTCTTTTCATATAGCTCAGGCTCACCTTACACTCACTATGTGTCCAAGGATGACCTTGAACTCCTGATCTTCCTGTCTCTACCACATGAGGTGCACACCACCATGCCCAGTTTATGCAGTGCTGGGAATCGAACCAGGACTCTGTGCATGCTAGGCAAGCCCCCTACCAATGGAGCTGCAGCTCCAGCCCGTGTAAATGTACTTGGAGCTCCAGTAAATACTTAAAATTCAAGTGTGGGTTCAAAAAAATAAAATAAACTGGGCATGGTGGGCGCACTTCTAACTCTGGCACCCAGGAGGGGGATGCAGGCAGATCAGAGGTGGGCCGGGCTGGGGGTAACGGAGGAAGCCAGGAGCCATCTGTTGTGTTTGGAAGAGAGAGTCAATGGTGAAGGATGGATAAGGACCTGAGGATCACTCTGTTGAGAGGCAAGATGTGGGAACTGAAGTAAGCTACCCAGGTTGGGTCCCGAAGGCCAGGGCACGTGGGTTAGGTCAGGGACATCTCAGGTCCCAGTCCCGGTGGTATTGCACCTTTCACTGCAGACCCAGGGCCCCGTCTGACTTTTCTAGACCTGGCTGTGGGAATCGGGTTAGCACGTCCTGCATTGTCACGGGCAGGAAAGCTTCCTCAAGCGTGCCTCTTGGGCCCCTACACCCAGCTTGCTCCCTGGCCCCAACTCCTGCTGCTGTCAATATGGCGTCCCTGCAGAGCCAAGGGTTTCTGACTCCCTGATCGCTTGGTTTCAGAATCCAAGTCACTGGGCGACTGTGAGGAGCTGGTGATCAACGCCACGGCAGCCCTCAACAACCTGTCATTCTATCAAGTGAAGAGCTCCGTCCTGCAACACAGAAAGCTGTATGTCGCCGAACGTAAGGCTCAGTCGGGCATGGCTCCACTGGCACTCCTTTAAGGTCTTGATTTTAGCACCTAAAACACACCCTGGAGGCATTGCTGCAGCAGCCGCCCCATGATAGCCGAGATGCTCGACCATGGGAACAATTTGTCTCTTAGTTCTCATTGAAATGGCCTGTGCGTTGTATTTTAGCAGCATTAAAAAGATGTGAAGTTCTCTGTATTTGCTAGGAGATTAGCTTTCACTCACCTTTAAATACGGTTACAGTAAGAAGTAGAGAATGACGTCACCAGTGTAGGTTTAGAACTGTGTGGAACGTCAGCTCCAGAGGCAGAGACAGGTGGATCTCGGTGAGTTTAGGGCCAGCCTGGTCTACAGAGTGAGTTCCAGGACAGCCAGGGATGTATCAAACAAATAACAGCAAACCCACATAACAGAACCTCATACACACAGTACTCCTTCTATCATTGCTGAAGTATGTACATTTCTGTAGTAACAGTAGAGAGTATAAATGGTGTTTGGAAGTTATTTTAAATTTATTCATTTTCTGTCTGATTGCCAAATCCAGTGCTCTTAAAGCTCCTCGTGAGTAACAACATGGATGGCATCCTGGAGGCCGTGCGGGTCTTTGGAAACCTCTCCCAGGACCGTGACGTCTGCAATTTCCTCATGCAGAAAAATGGTGGGTAAATGACATTTGAGATCCTAAGCACGTGACTCTTGCCACTAGTCAGCTAAGTGGCTTGGAAGCTTGGGTGATAAAGTGTGGTGTTTGTTTCCATTGTAAGATGAACCATGCTTTACATTTGTCCCAGATGGGGGAGCAGCTCAGAACGCTGCAATAGACCAAGGCTGTGTCTCTCCCCGAGAGTAGCCCTTAAGTGATAGGATAAGGCAGTGCATGCGTGCATTCATGTGTGTGTGTGTATGTGTGTGTGTGTGTGTGTGTGTGTGTGTGTGTGTGTGTGTGTGTATGTGTGTATGTATATG